GAATATTAGCTCATTTTGCATTGCTATAAAGGAATACCTGAGGCTAGGTGATTTATAAGGAAAAGAGATTGATTTGGCTCACCATTCTACAAACTGTACAAGAGGCTCATGGTTCCACACACGGCAGCTTCAGGAAGCTTTCAATCATGGTGGAAGGTGAAGGGTAGCAGGTGTGTCGCATGATGAAGGTGGGAGCAAGAGAGCAAGGCGTAAGTTCCCAGGCTGTTTAAGAATCAGCTTTCATGTGAACAAATAGAGAAAGAACCCATTCATTACTGCAAAGAGGACACCAAGCCATTCATGAAAGATCCGCCCCCAGGACCTAAACACCTCCGACCAAGCCTCACCTCCAGCACTGGGGATCACATTTCAACATGAGGTTTGGAGGGGACAAATTATATCAAATGGTGACTGAGAAGATGAATACATTGATTTGTTCCACTATAGTAACCATTTTACTACACACGTATATCTTATAACATCACGTTTTAGACCTTAAATATACGCAATACAATTTTTTTTTGAAGCTAGTTAGATATGGAGCTTAGCAATGAGTGAATGTTTGCCAGTGATTGTGTAGACTTCAGAGCTCTTTCTAGTGAGTACAGATGGCCTCCAACTTACTATGGTTCGACTTAAGATTTTTTGACTTACGATGGATTCATCAGGATGTAACCTCATTATAAGTTGAGGAGCATCCATATGTACCTCCATTCATGCTGGATAAATAGATTCTTTGTTTTTTTTTTTTTGTTTTTTTTTGTATTTTTTTGAGACAGAGTCGTGCTCTGTCACCAGGCTGGAGTGCAGTGGTGCGATCTTGGCTCTTTGCACCCTCTGCCTTCCGGGTTCAAGCAATTCTCTTGCCTCAGCCTCCCGAGTAGCTGGGACTAGAGTTGCAGCTATTTTTAATATTTTTGTATTTTTAATAAAGACAGGGTTTCACCATGTTGGCCCAGATGGTCTCAATCTCTTAATCTTGTAATCCACCTGCCTCAGCCTCCCAAAGTGCTGGGATTACAGGCATGAGCCACCGCACCTGGCCAGCAAATAGACTCTTTAAGGCACTGCTCTTCTTTGTCCCTGAGAGCAGACAGCCACCCACCACCTGACCAGCTGCCTTATCAGATCTCCCTGTCCCATGCTCTCTTATCTAACATTCACCCTTCAACATACGGGAAGAAGAGTCCCGGAGTTCAACAGGGCAAAACTGACATTTTAAAAAGGAATTTTAATTAAGAGACTAAAGGGAAATCTCTATGTACAAAGGCTGAGAGGAAGTTCTAAAGGGTCTGATAGAAAGAGAATAAGTTGTGGAATTAGACAGATACGGTTTCCAGACCTTGGCAAATCACTCAACCCATCAGAGGCTCACCTGTAAAGTAGAAACAATCATGACTAGCTTGTAGGCAGTATGAAGAAATAGAAAATAGTGTACATGCAAGTGTCACCTTGGGCAGGCCAAAGCCTAAACTTGCTGAGAAATATGCCTGAGGAAACGACCGTCACTATACCCTCTCTTACAGCCAGTTTGCAGGATTGGGGTGAGACTATTTGTCACCATTTGCTTGCTCCTGTGAGCAGGCAGACCTTTAGCCAGACCCCTCAAAAGACAGGTGAGGGAGAACCCAGGGGCTTCAAATCCTTGTGAGGATGGCGAAGAGGGCCTCTCACCTGCCAGAGCGTTATTCCAAGCAACTGGCAGTAGCCACAGCCCTGTCTTCACAGGGGAACGTAGGGACTGGGGGTGCTTAATCCTCACTAGGAGCTGTGTGTTCCTTGTTGAACCATTTCTCCAAATTTCTGTATTACAGCTTGTGTGTCTATTGGAATCTTTCCTTCAGTCTCATTGGCACAAAAGAAGTTAGCTCTTTTCTGTTGCCCCCTCCTTCAAACAACTTTGATCTAACCCCAGGTGAAATAGGCTCATCTGCCTGTCGGGTGTATTAGTCAGGGTTTCTTAAGGGACAGGACTGATAGGATAGATGTATACATGAAAGGAAGTTTATTAAGGAGTGTTGACTCACACAGTCACAAAATGAAATCCCACAATAGGCCGTATGCAAGCTGAGGAGCAGGGAAGCCAGTCCGAGTCTCAAAACCTCAGAAGTGACAGTGCAGCCTTCAGTCTGTGGCTGAAGGCCTGAGAGCCCGTGGCAAGCCACTGGTTTAAGTCCAGGAGTCCAAAAGCTGAAGAACTTGGAGTCTGATGTTCGAGGGCGGGAAGCATCCAGCACGGGAGAAAGGTGGAGGCCAGAAGACTCAGCAAGTCTGTTCTTTCCATCTTCTTCGACCTGCTTTACTCTAGCTGCGCTGGCAGCTGCTCAGATGGTGCCCACCTAGATTGAGGGTGGGTTTGCCTCTCCCAGTCACTGACGCAAATTTTAATCTCTATTGGCAATACCCTCGTAGACACGTCCAGGAATAATACTTCAATCCAATCAAGTTGACACTCAATATTAACCCTCACATCCTGGTTTTTCTTGGTTTTATCTACTTGCCTCAACCTTTTTAGAGAAGACTCTAAAATGCTTTTTTGTCAATATGGATATGTCTTTTTTCCATACCCAATTTTACTCCCTCTCTTCTTTTGAAGAAAATCTGGGACAGGACTTCTGGACTTGAGCACCAGCCAGGGAGAAGAAACAATACCTAGGAAGTGACACTCAGTTGGAGGAAGAACGATTATTCTAGAATTGTTCTCTGCTGTGGCACCAGAACTGCAGGACATCTGGTCTCTCCACATGTTGATGTCTGCATCCCGGTAAAAAATGGCTCACTTTCCCACCCTTACCCATGAAGGAAGATGAGGCAGCCAGTTCTAAGAAATTACAAGAAAAGCCTCCCTCCTGACTCCTGACCCACCCCTCTCATGCTCTCAGTGCTTCTACTCTTGCTTCATTAATTTATCCAGCAAATACTAATTGTCCACTAGGTACCAAGTTCTGTTATAGATAATGAAGATATGGCTGTGGAAAAAGAACTGGAAACCTGCCTTTCCATTCTAGTGGAAGAGTAGGAAGATAAACAATAAACAAAGTCAACAAGCAAACTATAGCATGTCAGGTGATTTAAGTGCCAGGAAGGAAACTGAGTGGTACAGATCATTGCAGAGGGTAGGTTGCAATTTTAAATTGAACAGTGAAGTTAGCCTCACTGATAAGGCAGTCTTCCAGCAAAGATCTGACAGAGGTGAGGAAGTGAATCTATGGAAACCTGGGGATACAGCCTTCCAGCAAATAGCAGGTGCAAAAACCCAGAAGCCTAGGGCATTGGTATTTGAGGGAAAACAAGAGGTCTGTGTGCTGGAGCAGAGTGAGCAAGGTGAGAATTAGAGAGTGAGGACGGGGAGATTATGAGGAAAGGAAACAGGTCATACAGTGCCTTGGAGGCCATTATGAAGACTTTGGTTTTTACCCTTATGAGATGGGAAGCCATTGGCGGTTTTAGAGCAGGAAAGTGACATGATCTGATTTATGTTCCAAGGCTCATGCCGGCTGCCCTGTTAAGACAAAACTGGAGGGAGACAAGCAAAGTGGGGACACCAGTGAGGTAGCCATAGTGACCATCCAGAGATTTCTGGATGGTGGCCTGGAATAGGTAGTTCTGAGAAGTGTTGTATTTTGGAGGTAGATCAATAGAATTTATTGGTGCATTGAATATATATGATGTGAAAAAAAGCGGGGAGACAAAGATAACCTCAACGCTTTTGGCCTGAGCAGCTGTAATTTGTGATTGCATTTGATCACATGGCAAGCTCAGTCGGGCTCAACACTGTTTGCTCCTTCCTAGTTGGAACTTCGTGTGGGCCTAAGATGTTTAACTAGAATTTCATCTGGCAGACGTAAACATTGTATTCTTCTTTTAAAAGCTCAAATAACAAATATTCTAAAATGCAAAGCAAAAAATTAAAGGATTTATTGAAATCGTGTGACAATATATCCCTAACACAATGAAGAAGATGACAATTATGATTTTCACAGAGTATTTTGCACTTGCCTAAGCACAAAAGCAAAACCAGAGCAAGGCAAACAACATACAAACAAAATTTGATGCTATCTAATAACTTTCATGAAACAACCATAAATGAATTTTGTTTTATTAAATCAGGCTTCAGGACTACTGAATTGCATTCACTAAAATGCTGTTTGAAATGTTACTTACTCCCCACCCACCCCACTACTCTTAATTCATCGCCCTCCCCACAAGAGGACAAAATGCAAAAAAGTTAGTAAGCAAGATATAAATAATAATTCAAAAACAGAGATCAAAGTAAATTTTTTTTTCAGTCTCTGCATCTATGCTCAAATCAATGTTTTCTGAGCATACAGGGAAGCAAGGAAACCAATTCTCTAGCTCTCGCTCTGCCTCTTATTCTCCTCCAGCCCCCAATACATTTCTGAATATTTTTAAATCCATTTATCACTGAGTACTTGTATATAACCAGAAGCACTGACTATATTGTTAATCATACTTTGGAGCAATTTTCATGGGGAATTGTACAAATGTTCTTTGATACGTATCTCCTCACTAGAAAGACAATCTTAAACATAATAAAGACTTAGCCTGAAGTGAAGAAGGCAACTTTCTGTTGACCACACTGAGCCTTAGGTCACCAGATTTCTACTCAGGAGAGGCAGTGGGCAGGAGGGGCCAGTTTGGAGGGCACCCACCAACACCGGTCCTTCTCCTACTACCCACTGTGTGCTTCCAGCTTCAAGCTGAGTTCTCTGCATGGACTCCAGCAGTTCCCAATAAACCATCATTCATGGGATCCTCCTGTATAGAGATGAGGAAGGTGCCACAAGCAAGACATACTTGGCCAGAAGGGTTGAGTAATGAGGTCTCTTTTCTTCTTTGTCACTAAAAAATTACATTTAATTTTGAGGATAAAGATAAATTATTCTAAGACAGGATTAAAAACTAAACAAAACAAAACAAACATAGAAAAGAAAACCTTAATACATCTTTTAAATGAGGGACAGTTGTATAGAGTAGACTTCCTTGTTGTTGATAGTTTTAATTCAGATATCAATCTAGAAATCATAAGTTTTTTCCTCCAACACCTGTTCTTATTTACATAAAGTAGAATTTAAAACAAAATTTCGATTCATTAAGTAGAAATATTTAATAATAATAAATACATAAAAATATATTCATATAAAATAGAAATGCATGAAAAATATTCATCCATATAGAAATTTTAAATTGTCATAGCAATGTCAATTTAATTGGCTCAATGAGAGAGTGAAAACCTATTGCTTCAGGACTGCTTCAGTCTGTAACGCTATTTTAAAAAACTTATTTCAACATTTTCTTAAATACTATTCATTGGTTGTTAAATTTTTATTTTGCTGTCTTAGAATGAAGGTTGTTATTAGGGATGTTACATTCAGAGATAAAGTTCCAAATTTCATAGAACCCTTTCTTCTCTGCCTCGTCTTTACATTTCAATTTTTTGGGGGAATGTCGTTCAAATCTAGTTTACAAATGAAATATAAAGGATGAAAGAATGGGTAAACAAAGAAGTCCCCAAGGTGTAACAGTGAATATTGCTTTAAGAAAATACAAAAACAACTTTAAATAAGATCCTTCAAACACGAGTCATCCCATTCTCAGGGAGCTTCAGAATTTCCACATGGCTGAGTGCCAAATTCCACAAGTCATGGAATTTCCACACATCTCTCTTCACTTCTCTGACTTCTTCTGTCTAACATGGGCTGATATATTTCAGCCACTACACAGTAGCTGGAATGTGGTGGTAGAGCTTCAATTTCAACAACTCTGTGAGCCCCTTCATAAACCTTTTGCTCCTACACACAAGAGAGAAAATAATCAGTTGGTAAATGGCTGTCATTAAGTCACAGCTGTATTTTTGTTTAAATTAACAAGTTGTACATGGTCACAGTGGTAGATGGGTTGTGGGGTTTCTTCCCAGACACATCCTTCTTTCCTAGAGTCCTAGGCCATAGCCTAGGTAAAGGTAAAGGGACAAGACAAGTAGCTGTGTAGGTGCAACTTGACTTCTCCTTGAGGGCTGCTGGCTGGTTGACCCTGTGGTCAGAGTCTTCTTTTTAAGAATTTTGTTTGTTGTATGAGACACAGTTTTACTCCATTGCCTAGCCTGGAGTGCAGTGGCACTATCTCGGCTCACAGCAACCTCTGCCTCTCAGGTTCAAGGGATTCCCGTGCCTCAGCCTACCAAGTAGGTGGGATTGCAGACGCACACCACCACACCAGGCTAATTTTTGTACTTTCAGTAGAGACGGAGTTTTACCATGTTGGCCAGGCAGGTCTTGAACTCCTGACCTCGAATGATCTGCCTGCCTCAGCCTCCCAAAGTGCTGGGATTACAGGCATGAGCCACCCGACTTGGCTTTCTTTTTAAGAATTTAAAGTGTGCAGCGAGAATGGTGTGCAGCGAGATGAGCAGAGATAACTACAGGTATGCAACTGTGGCCACAGAGAGACAGAAAGTCCAAGAGACAGAGCAGGATCCCTTAGAACTCACTTCTGTTTCCCTTCCCAGTCACCACTAAGCCTGCCGGCACTCCAGGTCCTGCCTCTGTCCCTGAGATTGCTTGCCTATCTCCTAATAATCCCTCCCTCCTTTGTTTCTAAACAAGTTGGACTGTGGTTTCTGCTCCTTACAACAAAAACCCCTAATCTTAGATGACACCAAAAAAGAAACAAATTCAATTATCCACCAAGTCCAGACAGAAGCACCGATGGTAGATTAGAATACCACAGCAAGGCCGGGCATGGTGGCTCATGTTTGTAATGCCAGCAGTTTGAGAGGCCAAGGCAGGCGGATCAGTTGAGCCCAGTAATTTAAGACCAGCCCAGGCAACATGGCTAGAGCCTGTCCCTACTAAAAGTACAAAAAACAATAGCTGGGTATGGTGGCATGTACCTGTAGTCCCAGCTACTTGGGAGGCTGAGGTGGGGGGATCATTTGAGCCCAGGATGTTGAGGCTGCTGTGAGCTGTGATTGCATTGCTACACTCCAGCCTGGATGACAGAGTCAGACAGACCCTGTGTAAAAAAAAAAAAAAAAAAAAACTGGCACAAAAATAATCATGTGATTCAAAAGCTATTTTAAAATAAGATGTGAGGCTGGGCATAGTGGCTCATGCTAGCCTGGGCAACGTAGTGAGATCTCGCCTCTACAAGAAAAAAAAAAAAAAGCTGGATGTGATGGTGCATGCTTGTAGTCCCAGCTCCTCAGGAGGCTGAAGCAGGAGGATCACTTAAGCCTATACGTTAGAGGCTACAGTGAGCTATGATCACCACTGTATTCCAGCATGGGTGACAGAGTGAGACCTGGTCTAAAAATAAATAAAATAAATAAATAAATAAAGTATGCGAAGCCCATAAAAATGATTATTTGTGGCAGTCACATGGAATTAAATACTGTTAATACCAATCTTTAGATATGCAGGGAAAACCGTGGAGACAAACCGAAGGATGGAAAGGGCACACACACATTCTGATGGTGATGCCAGCACCAACGGTGGATCAATACTGGTTGAGAGTAAGAAGGAATTAAAGATAAGGAAAAATAAAAGGAGGCAGAGTAGCAGAAGAGGACATCTCATATGACCAAAATACTGGTTAAATAAATAAAAGAGAAAACACTAAATATATCTATTCATCTGAACTTACCTTTTCTAGTGAATTGTTAATTATAAAAACTCGGTATACTAGTTCATAGTAATCTTCTATAGATATATTTTTTTCCTTTTGGTATCTATGTGGTAAATTTGGAGCATGGAGAATTACCAACAAAGATCCATTGACTTGGGTTATGTTCATGACTGGAGGATCTATTTTTGCTGGAGAAAAAAACGTAAAACTTTGAGAAATCATCAAATGAATGTATTATATACAGATACATTATGTATAATGACAAATCAGCTTGGTGGGAGGATCACCTGAGCCCAGGGAGGCTGAGGTTGCAGTGAACTATGGTCATGCCACTGCACTACAGCTTGTGCGGCATAGTGAGACCCATGTCAAAAAACAAAAACAAAAAGAAAAAAGAAAATTGCACGTGTATTTGAATCTCAAACCTTTATAAATTTAGGGGGTGTTAGATTCTTAGCAGAGTAAAGACGGAAACATACAAATTACTTTCCTCTGTTTATTGGAAGGGTTTTCTTAGTCCGCCTTTTGTTTGTTTGTTTGGTTGGTTGCTTTTGGGTTTTTCTTGAGACAGGATCTCATTATGTTGCCCAGGCTGGTCTCTAACTCCTGTACTCAAGTGATTCTCCTTCAGCTTCCTGAGTAGCTGAGATTACAGGTGTACGCCACCACACCTAGGCTAGTCTGATTTTTTATTGACAGTGTAGCCCTTGGAGGTTCTAAGATTTTTGTGGGGGTATTAGTTATAACTCCCTGCCTTGTGCTGGCCTAAAACCTTGTCTTTTGTCCTGGGAGTGGCTGTTACCACTCAGGGTCTAGTTACCACATCCAGCAAACGCCCTCAGGGCAGCTGGGTCACTATGTTGATCCTCTGGTTCCCCTTTGATTTCCATGTACTTTGTTTTGGCCCCCTGAGGATTCCCTTTATTTTCATTATTGCCGCTCTGTGGAGTTTGGAGAATGTGTTTTATTTTATCCAGAATTTCTAAGTGTTTTAGAAGAAGAGAGTTTCCTACTCCCAGGCTATTTAATTTGGAACCATAAATTTTTAAATCACTTTCCAACTATATTGGAATAATGTGATAGTTAACTTTAAATACACATGTCCCTTTTGTAGTCAGGCACATATTTCAGGCATTGGCCTATCAGTGAGTCAGCTGCGGACATCTCAGGGCTCCTGGCTTATGATCTGTGATGCTAGATTTCTTGACCCATTCACTGGATTGTGATTGTGTTACAAGACCAAGTCAAGATTATTTGACCTCATAGCACTTTACTCGTTAACAGCTCTCTCCTTGAAATATTACCTTCCCACACTATTCATGAATGTATCAGCCCACAGATTTCCTCCTACCTCTTTGGCTATTGCTTCTTAGTCTCCTTTTAAGATTTTTCTTACTCAGGCATCTTTGGGTGAGAATCCCTCAATATCTGGTCTTACTCAGAACTGCCTCTCACTACTCTCTCCCTAGGCAATCCTATCAATGCCCACTGTACTGTATGCATGAAATGACTCACAGATTTTTGTCTCTAATAGACTTTACCTTTGAGTCTTGGATCTGAAGAGATTGTCCCTTGGATCTCTCAAAAGCATCTTAAACTTAACGTATTCAAAACCAAACTTATAATCTCTATTGCCTTGCATCCCACCAAACTGGTCTTTTTCATCAAACCCCATCAAAAACATCTCAGCCATTCAGCTAATTATGCTTGCAAGAAAATTAGAAGTAGTCTTTGACGTGTTCTCTTCACCATTATATTCAATCTATCACCTGGTCCTGCCAATTTTTCTTACTAAATGTCCCTCCAGGAATAAATTTTCTCTAGTCCTTTTCATCAGCCAAATTCTGTCTCCTGTAGACTATTATTAGTAACCTACTACTTCACTTATCCGCATCCAACCTGTTCCCCCAAATATAGTCAAAATGACCTTTCCTATACACAAGTCTGATCATATGGCTCCCGAGTAAAATTACTTTTTTCTGGAGGAAGTCACAACTCTTTAAAAAATTATTGTACATGCCCTACCTTTCCAGTCCCACCTCATTATGGACCCCTTCCTGCATGCTCTTCTTCAATATACTGCTTGTCTTTCAGTCCCTTGCATTTGCTATGTCAGAGAGCCTTTGCAAACGCTGTTCCCTTGCTTGGAATGCTCTGTTCTTTGCCTCAAGTGATCCTCCCACCTCGGCCTCCCAAAGCACTGGGATTACAGGCATGGAGCCAATGCACCTGGCTTTCACATCTATTTTTAATCCAAGCAATTCAAGGGTCAAATAATACTGAAATCTAAGTATTAAATGCTGCTTTTAACTGAAGAAAGTTTATTTTATTTTATTTTTAATATTTTTAAAATATTGCTTTGTCTCTAGATAGAAACCATAAATCATAACTTCTTAATCTAAGATAATATTCTGCTGCTCAAAAACAGGTGTCAGAGGAGCCAATGCATGCAGCTGGCTCATTAGTCTATATTCACAGATGCCAGGAACATGCTGTCCTGAGGACCTAGAAACATGTTTTTTGAAATATGTCCTTCAGAAGTTCTTAGGAGCTGTGGTAAGAGAGTGCAAAGCTGGGGGTGAGGAAGCAGCTGAGTGGGTGATTCTCTCACTATTGCATCAACAAGAGTAGTAGCTATAGACTGGGTTTCTTACTCTTCTACTAAGAGGCCTGAAATCAAATGACTTTTTAAAGGACCCAGTCTAAAGCTTTTTTCTTTTCTTTTCTGATTTTTTTTAGGGAGAATGGTTATACAGAAAACACACAAATCCTTCTTAACTCAATACTATCCCAATTTAAATAGAGTTGAGCTAAAGCTGTGTCAGTCAGTGTCTTTGGTTATTCTTACCTGACTGGCCTAATGGCTTAGACTGAAGGAAGTTTTGTTTGATAAGTTAATTTGAATGTGACCCTATTTCTAGGCTTGAATATAATAATCAAACTGATCTGTGAATTCCCTTCACTGCTGTTCATCAGTTTAGTCATGAAATCTCCTTTTCCTCAACTAGACAATTGCTGGTTGAGTGTATTGGCCTTGAATTTCAATGTATCCAAGAAACAACGTGAGAGTTACCATGAATTAGTTTGCTCAACTCTATTCCACCTTCTTGCTAATTAGAGAGTTGGGGGGAAATGCATCTAGCATTTTGGACATGATCCAATTAATTTGGTTCTAATTGGACCTTGCACCAGTTAGAAGAGGTGTATGGATGGATCCCTAAGTACTAGGGTACAGAATGTGAATATTTCTGTGGCCATATGAATGCAAGGCAAAAGGCTCATACTGAAAAGCAGTCTTAAGAAATCTAGGTGGTTAGAGAATTGTAAGGAACCCATAATAGTCAAAACAATCTTGAAAAAGACATACAAAGAGGAGGGCTCACCCTTCCCAATTTCAAAGCTTACTACAAAGCAACAATAATCAAAATAGTGTGGTATGGGCACAATGATAAATGTATAGATCAATAGAATAGAATTGAATGTCTGGAAATAAACCACGCTTCTATGGTCCATTGATTTTCAACAAGTGTGCCAAGAACACTCAATGGGGATAATTTTCAACAAAAGGTGCTGGGACAACTGGATAGTCATATGTCAAAAAATAATATTGGACCCTTACCTCACACCATATACAAAAATTAACTCAAAATGAATCAGACTTAAATGTAAGACATAAAACTATAAAACTCTTAGAAGAAAATATAGGGTAAATCTGCATGATTTTGGATTTGGCAAAGGATTCTTAGATATGACACCAAAAGCACAAGCAACAAAAGAAGAAATAGATAAATTGGATTTCTTCAAAGTTTAAAACTTGGTATCAAGTGATACCATCAAGAAAGTAAAAAAGACAACCCACAAAATGGGAGGAGCTAGCTGAGAATCATATATCTGATAAGACATTGGTATGCAGAATATATAAAGAACTCTTACAACTCAAAAATCAAAAGATACGATTAAATTTTTTAAATGGGCAAAGAATCTCAATGTACAATTCTCCAGAGAAGGTACAAAATAGCCAATACACATAAAAAAGAAGCTCAACATCATTAATTAGCAGGTAAATGCAAATAAAAACCACTTGAGATACCATTTTATATCCATTAGGATGGCTATAGTCAAAAAAGATTGGTAAAAATGTGAAAAAATCGGCCGGGCGTGGTGGCTCAAGCCTGTAATCCCAGCACTTTGGGAGGCCGAGACGGGCGGATCATGAGGTCAGGAGATCGAGACCATCCTGGCTAACACAGTGAAACCCCGTCTCTACTAAAAAATACAAAAAACTAGCTGGGTGAGGTGGCGGGTGCCTGTAGTCCCAGCTGCTTGGGAGGCTGAGGCAGGAGAATGGCATAAACCCGGCAGGCGGAGCTTGCAGTGAGCTGAGATCCGGCCACTGCACTCCAGCCTGGGCGACAGAGCGAGACTCCGTCTCAAAAAAAAAAAAGTGGAAAAATCAAAGCTCTCATATATTGCTGATGGGAATGTAAAATAGTGCAGATGCTTTGAAAACAGTCTGGCATTTTCTCAAATGATTAAACATAGAGTTACTTTGAGACCCAGCAATTCCACTCCTATGTATATATCGAAGAAAAATATGTATGCCCAGCTGTGCGTGGTGGCACATGCCTGATAGTCCTTGCTACTTGGGAGGCTGAGGTAGAAGGATTGCTGGAGTCCAGGGGTTCAAGACTAAAGTGAGCTATGATTGTGCCACTGCACTCCAGCCTAGGTGACAGAGTAGGATCCTGTCTCTCAAAAAAACAAACAAGAAAAAAACCAAAAAAACTCCCACACAAAAATTTTTACATGACTGTTTATAGCAACATTATTCATAATGGCCAAAAAGTAGAAACTACCCAAATGTCTATCAACTGAGGAACAGATAAATAATATGCGGTATATCCATATAATGTACTATTATTTGGCCACAAAAAGGAATGAAGTACTGATACATACTACAATCTGAATGAACTTTGAAAACATGTTAAGTGAAAGAAGCTGGTCAAAAAAAATCATGTATTTTATGAGTCTATCCAGAACAGGGAACTCTATACAGACAGAAAGATTAATAGTTGCCAGGGCTGCAGGCTAGGGGAATGGCAAGACTGGAAGGTGATAGCCAAAGGGTATGGAGTTGCTTTTTGAGGTGATAAAAATGTTCTAAAATTGACCATGAATGATAGTGGTACATATTTGTGAATATAGTAAAAACCATTAAACTGTATGCTATATGCTTAAAGTATAAGCTGTGTGAATTATACCTCAATAAGGCTGTTTTAAAAAATCTAAGTGGATGCAGTGACAATCTATTTCCCCAGTGTCCTATAGTTGCTCTATGGACTCTTGAACAAAATAGTTACATGATGGAGGATATATATAGACTTAACAATATGGATCTCCTCTTACCAAATTTGGTCTGACCTTCAGAGTGTCACTGCAGAGTGATCTTCCTTTCCAGGAAGGAAGATCAATGTTGAACCCCTAGTATAGTGCCGTATTCCAGGGGCTCTCATCTTCCATCTCGTTGCAGGTAGGTTTTTTTTGTTCCCTTCCAAAACGGAGGGGGCAAGAGACACTGGTTATAGTTTTTCTTTACTGCTGGGTATAGATTCTGGTTACAGATTCTGTTTATAGATTTTTATTTACTGCTTCAATGCTTTTATCAGCAGACCCCTCATCACTCCTGGGACCACACATACACCCATTGATGTAGTCAATGCCTTATTCATGAGCATAGTACTCCACAATATATTGCTTATGACAAAGAACTTAAGTTAATGTGAAAAGAGTGAAGTAAGGTCTCAAGACCCACAGAAATCCATGACTTTATAGGAAGGTGAAATGGATAATTGAAAACTCAGTTTGAGAGATGTCTTGTGAATTGGCATATGAATTGGTAAACGCTCCAATTGGTAAATGCTTCACTAAGCGTGGGGCCAATATATGGTGCTATTTCTTCCATAGACAGAATTCACTGGTCTAGGATACAAGAAGTGGAAGTGAGAGGGGCAACTCTGACTGTTATCCATAGAGAACAACTCATGACATGATGACACGTTTTTGTTTCCCATATGCTTGGCCTTGAATTCTTCTGGTTTATAACAAAAATGGTTTCCAAAAATTGGAAGTTGAGGCTCTCTCCTGACCATTTAGAGCTTCTTGTGCCATTTAGCTAACAAAAAGAAAATGAGGTTCTTATATTGTCTGGGGTGATTCATTCTGATTTTCAAGGCATAATACAGTAATAAATACATTGGGGTCAGGTGGAAGAATTCTTGGTAGCCTCAAGTGTGCCTCTTAGAGCTTCTCTATTCAGCAATAAAAAATAATGTAAGGTTAGGTCAAGCTGAGATAGGAAACACCAAAAGGACTGAAACTCCTTATGGATAAAAAGCTGAAGTGCTGGCTGAAAAGAAGATGAATGTTGAGTTTATAATGAGGGAAGAAGTCATAAATATTAACTACAACTTCATGATTAGTTGCAATTATGAGGACAGTGGTAAATATCTTTATTTTCTTTCTTGTTCCATTTATGCACATCTTTATATCTATACATTAAACCCCTTCTCTCTCTCTCTTTCTTTTCCCTACTATTTTAGCCAATGTCTGTTGGTAATGGTTCATTTTATCACCTATATCTTAGATTATATTATTCTATGATTGTGACTAAACTAAAAGAGGAATAAATATCATTCAGGATGGATACTGAGAAAGCACTTTTGGTCTGCCTTTTTCGGGAGGTGAGACTAAAAGTCTAATTTCCTTAACAGAAAATTCTTCTATGAGTATTTTCATGAACTTAACCCTCATGTTTGGGGAAGGACTAGGGCACTATGACAAATTCTGCTGTCTAAAAATACTTTTTGGGGGGCTGGGCATGGTGACTCACACCCATAATCCCAGCACTTTGGGAGGCCAAGGGGGGGCGGATCACCTGAGGTCAGGAGTTTGAGACCAGCCTGGCCAACATGGTGAAACCTCATCTCTACTAAAAATACAAAAATTAGCCAGGGATAGTGGCACATGCTTGTAATCCTAGCTACTTGGGAAACTGAGGTCGGAGAATCGCTTGAACCCGGGAGGCAGAGGTTGCAGTGAGCCAAGATCGTGCCACTGTACTCCAGTCTGGGTGACAAAGCAAGACCCTGTCTCTCTCTCACACACACACACACACACAGGCTCTGCAGTCAGATGCAGTAAATGTGAACCCTGACTTGTATAATACAGGTCATGAGACTGGACCAATGACTAAAGCCTCTACATCTTGATGTTCTGGGCTAGAAAATTAGGATAATAAAAGCTATCTCCTAGAGTTGTTCTGAGAATTAGACCAAACGAGATAACTATGTAGAGCCCTCAGCAAAGCACAGGCCTGGTCACTAGCCGTGCTCTAGGAGGGCTGTCCAAAAGCAGGAAGAACAAGGGCAAAGAAACTCCATGGAACTCACTTTCCCACCAGGGAGTGAACCGCGGCGTCATGCTCCAGTCTGAGTAGCTCCCAGCCGAGGCCGCCCTCACCCTCCCGTAATAAGGTTCCTGTATGTCTGAGGTTTCACTGGTAAGGTCACAAAAGAGTTCTTGAGTACCCCAACAGTCTTCTTTATTTTTCCATTGTCTCTGTCCATATCTGTAGCGGGGAAAAGGCAAAGATCTGAGTTTCTTTTCTCCACTCAAGGAGTCTTCAATATTTTCAGACTGATAATTCTTTATACCTGATTCTAGTATCAATATCACCATGATAGCTTATGGCTACTTTTCAGAAGCTTTAAAAAAATTCCTTCTTATTAACTGTCTAAGTCCATTTTCTGTTGTTGTAACTGAATACCCGAGACTGGGTAATTTATAAAGAAAAGGAATTTACTTTTACAGTTTTGGAGGCTAGGAAGTCTAATGTCTAAGAGCCACATCTGGTGAGGGCCTTCTTGCTGGTGGGGACTCTCTGCAGAGATTTAAGGTGGCAGAGGATATCATAGGCATTCAAGAGAGATGGCTTTTACATATATATATATAAAACAGACCAACTTTTCTTATAACTAGCCCACTTCCTCAATAACACTTTAATTCGTTAATCCATCAATGGATGAATCCATTCATGGGGGCAGAATCCTCATGACCCAATCATCTCCCCAAAGTCCCACCTCTCAACATTGCTGCATTAGGATCAAGTTTCCAACACATGAGCTTTTGGGGGACACATAGAAGCCACAGCATTACCTGAAGTGCTGTCTTGCTGGAAGATAAACATCCCTGACACTTTCCGTATCACTAACATAAAGGTTTTAACTTATTTTTTAATAGTTGGCATAATGTTCTTTCAGGTGTGAGGACTGACTTCCATTTTTGAATACTCACTCTCCACATCCTTAATGCTCTGTGGTTTTGAGTGTTTGTGGTTTTTCATCACTTCTCATCAGCTCGCTATTGAGTAATGTGGCTGCTTCTGAGAAGTTGCTACCACTTTTCATCTCAGGTGCTGCTTACCCAACATACATGATTAATCTCTTTATTGAAAATTGACGGGAAGTTTTAGTGAGGACTATATATGGAGCCCTGTAATTAGGGGTTGGGAGAGGGGGAGTGAAACCCATGAAAAAAGGTAGTGAGGCAAGAGGCAGAGAGGTTGACTCAGCCTGAGGCCACAGGATGGTGTAATAGTCAAAGGGAAGATTCACGCTTTGTTTCCTTACCTGCCATAAATCAGACCAATGCAACAAAGTGATGGTGGGGAACAGAGAAGGAATTGGAGTCTGAGGAGAAAGGTTTCCCAAATTATTTATTGAAAGACTTGAAATCTAACTTTCTAGACACATAATAAGGAAGATTGACAGTATCTGTACTCAGTAATCTACATGGTGATAGCAATTTCATTCTATCACAATTAAAGCAGTACCACAACATGTATTGAGTATACTCTGATGTTTTAAAATTATTATTTATTTATAATAAGTCTTTAACTTAGCTGTAATGACTGACTTCTCTTTTAACATAATATCTCATTGTTTATCCCATTCTAAATGTGAGGGATATAACAGTACTATAGTCCATGAACTGGATACACCAAAATGAAAGTTTTCAAAATTATAAATTTGTCCTGTGCTGTTGAAAATCCCTTAGAGACAGAAATGGATTCAGGTATTCTGGGGTCTGAAATTTATATACTCTTTTTAATCCATTTAGTGTTTCTATAACAGAACACGTGAGGCTAGGTAATTGATAAGGAAAAGAGGTTTATTTAGCCCATGTTCTGCAGCCTGGGAAGTTACAAGAAGTGTGCTGCCAGCATCCACTTGGCTTCTGGTGAGAGCTTTTCATGTTGCATAAGAACATGCTGGAGAAGGTCCATGGGGAAAACAGATCGCGTGAAGAGGCCAAACTCAAGGGGCATCCTGGCTTTACAACAACCACTCTGATAGAAACATTTCCATGACAAATTCAGTCTTGCAAGAGTGAGAACTCACTCAACTGCAGCAATGATGGTACCAAGCCATTCATGAGCACTCCATCCCCATGATCCAAACACCTCCTACGAGGCCCCACTTCCAACATCACCACACTAGGGATCAAATTTCAACATGAATTTTGGTGGAGACAAACTCAAACTATAGCAGCTTGGGAGCCCTCTTTAAGAAAAGATTTATAAATATAAAATCCTTGCATGAGGTCCTGAAGTTTAATCTTCATTAGATTCATGGTAAAACAGTTTCTAATCTTCTTAGTACTTTGGTCCACAAATAGGTTCACTTTTGACCTATTTATACTGCTCAAGGAGAAGTATAAAAAAAGTACCAATCTTTACTTCCTACACGCTGAAAGTATCTCCAGCTATGCACAAATCTACTTTTGTAATGAAGAAACGATCATTGTAAAGATTTGCAAATTTTACAATCGTTACATAAGATATGTACAGAGAAGTAGCAGTGGTTAAAGATGGAGATGCTTCTGGGGATATCCATTCTGAAATTAATTAGAGGGAAAATCTGATCTAGGACCTACCCCATGCTGGAGAGACATGGATGAATTTATGGGATAAAAATTGCTATTTTGGCCATAGCTGCATTTGATTTTCTGAATTTCTAGTGAAAAACCATGAAAGTTAAACTGTAATATCTCCTGTCTCACTGTCAGGAGACAGGATTGAGCCTCAACTCCTCTTGCCCCCAAAAAATATATGAGTGGAAAAACGTGACATTTTCAAATCAGGAGTGTTTGTTTCCAAGCCTTGAGCCAGGAAAGGAGTAGATTATACTTGAGTTTTGGCAATGATCCAGTAGGAGTAGCCTGAGGATCACACGAGAGGAACATGCAGCAGCGTGTTCCAGTTTGTGTTCATGCTTACGAGACTCATTAGTTTTTGAAAAGAATTTTCTAAATAGTAAATCCACTCTGAAAGTGACTTTTAAATTAAAAACTTATTTTACACACTCACCTCCATGTTTGCCACAACTTCTTTTTCAACTATCAATAGTTTCATTCACTGAGTATTTGTTATGTGCTAAATAAGTTGCTTCCAACATTCACTTGACAAACCTGTATTGAGAATCCACCATGTGCCAGGCTCCACTATGGAGGTGAAGGCTGAGCCTGTGAGGTCTTGGTGCAGGTCTAGGGCTGAAGTATCTGCCCAATGCACTGCATACCGTCATGCATTTTGAGTCCCCAGGCAGCCTTCAGGGGAGACAAGTCACTGCTATCCTGACCTTGGCTTCTTCTCAACCCCTCTGAAATGGAGAAAAAGCTCGGATCCTAACACTCCATTGCATTCTAGAACATGTTATCCCAGTGCCATCTCTGTCAGCTGAAGGAGGCTCAATTTACTTACATTTTGTACTGCACAAAATAGACACTGCTGTTGCCAGTAAGTGCCCTCCCAGGCTGCCATTGCAAAATGTTGTGAAAATTTCGGGACTGAAATTGTACCCTCTGAGGCTTCAGAGACTCATGTGCTGGCTGAGTTCCTAAGATAATAAGAGAAGGAAGAACATTGAACGTTGCTAGGAGCACTGTTGTTCCCAGCAGTAGTTTTCAATGGAATACTTGCATCAGGATTCCCTAAAGTAGTTGCTCTATGTGCAGATAGTAGAGGTGGAGCCCAGAAATCAACATTTTGACTCTTCAATGCAATGATTTTGATACACGCTAAAGTCTCAGAATGATGAGATCCAGATCATAAACATGTACATGCTATCTTCCCACCCTATTTCCCAGGCTGTAGGGGAAGTAAATTGCAGTAAAAAAAAAAAAAATTGCTATTATTTTATCCCCAAATAGTGATGGAATATAATGACTGAGATGAAGGACCCACACTGAGACCAACAACCATCTTCTTAGGAACCACTATATTGGTACTACTCAAGCAAAATTTGCTAGGGACCAATTCTGGCTCCAGGATCTCAGCCCAGCACTCAGTCCCTCCTTTCACAGGTTCTTGCTCAATCTCTGGGTCCTGCTTCCAAGTAGGTCTGCCTTTGCTGTCCCACTCCTGAATGGCTGCATTTACCTGCCTACATCCTGGCTCCAAGTATCCAAGCATAATCCCTCAGATGAAATGGCCATGCTAATGAGGAAAACAGACCAAGACCCTGCTGGGGGGCTAGTGTTTCTGAGACTAATCATGGCAGGGGATGGGATAATTTTGCACTGGCATGACTTGTGCTTTCTTCCTCGAATCATGCAACATAGGTGCTACAACCTCACTTGCCTTTAGTCACATGGAGGCAAGAGAACTTTGGCAAAATTTTGTTTAGGGTTCAAGGTTTCTTATAAGGGATAAGAAGTTGGGCAGAAGGAGGAGGAGTCAGGAAGCATATCTTTTTTTTTCTTTTAGACAGAGTTTCACTCGTCGCCCTGGCTGGAGTGCAGTGGTGCGATCTCAGCTCACTGCAACCTCTGCCCCCCAGATTCAAGTGATTCTCCTGCCTCAGCCTCCCGAGTAGCTGGGATTACAGGTGCCCACTACCACGCCCGGCTAATTTTTTTTGTATTTTTAGTAGAGACGGGGTTTCGCCATGATGGGCAGGCTGGTCTTGAACTGCTGACCTCAAGTGATCCGCCCGCCTCGGCCTGCCAAAGTGCTGGGATTACAGGTGTCTGCACCCGGCCAGGGAGCATATCTTCTGTTTTCTCCCTGACCTCATCTTCTGTCACCCCGACCCCTGTGTTTGCAGCGTTGACTCCTTCACTTGCTCCACCATGACCCTGATGACTCTGCCTTAGGGCCTCTGCACTGGCCCTTCCCTTTTCCTGGTCTACCTTCCCCTGGATTTCACATGGTTCATTTCTCCACCTCCTTCAAGTCTTTGCTCATTTGTATCACATTATTGAGATGGTTAAAAAAATACTCCCAAGCCCATGGTCTCAGCTCTGAACTTTCAAGATTTGTTATTTTCAAATGAACAAGACTGTTTCCTCAGGCCTTTCTTCTTACCAACCAAATAGTGTGAATACTGTTATTTGCTTTTTAATTTGTTTTCACTTTTATTGTTTGGACCACCGTCAGTGCATCAAATGGTGTTGTGTTCTTGGAAAGAGTCTACAGCCACAATTGATTTTGCTCACAAAAATCACTGCCTGATCAATCATCTTTAGAACATAAAAATTCCAGGAGTTTTCAGGAGATGATAGGCACAATTTCCTGAAGGCCTGCCTAGAATTGATTTGCTAACATGAAGATAGATGGCTTAATGCCCTTTATCTCTCTGTCTATGGATTTCTTCGCTCATTTTTGTAACATCAGTGCTACCACCACCAACAGTAATAACACTGGCCTAGGCACTGAAGGACTTTTATCTGCATTCACTCATTTAATTTACCCAGCTCTTCTGTGAGGAAAGTACTGTGCATTATGGTCTTCTTCTTACAGACTGAAAAAACGAAGCCTTGGAGACCCGAAGGAGCTTGCCAGGCAGCAAATGGTGAAGCTGATTTTGTATCCAGACAGTCTGACTGTAGAGCCTGCCTTTTCCCTCCAACAGAAAGCCAAGAGCAAAGCCATGGGAGAGAGGAGCTAATGACAGAGACAGACCAATTAGAAGCTGAGGGTATACTTTATCTTTTTCCTTCTTCTCTCCTCCTCCTCCTTCTGGCTGGCATTCATCAAACATTGAACATAAATGAACATTAACTTATATTAGGCACTATGTTCAAAGCTTTACAACTTACTTAATTCCCACAGTCACCAAGTAAGGTAAATATTTTTATTATCTCATTCTACAGATGAGGAAGCTGAGGCTTTAAAAAGTTGCATCTCATACTCAAGGTTACAGGCTTGGTGAGATGCAGAGCCAGGAACATTTTGGTAGCATTTGAATTCCTGCCATATTTTGCTAAATGTGCCCTTGCTGTTACCAAGGACCAGAGTCTTCTCAAATCCAAACATTTCTGCAAGATTAAGGCTTGAATTGCTTTTATGTATAAGTCACTAGACAACTGGCAAGTTACTTGAATCACTTACACTGAGAGGTACCCATCTGTAAACTTGGATTCTTACAGGCTTGCTCAGAAGTATGCAGTGGTGATAAGATGCTCTACACTCCTGCAGTGTCTTCCACGAATACCAGAAACAAATTCTCACCTGCTGTTTGTGGTCCCTATCCTGTGCCAGGCACTTCTCTAAGCATTTGGCATATATTAACCTATTTAATCTTCACAGTGACCTAGAATCCCCATTCAACTAATGAGGAAATTGAGGCAGTTAAGTAAAGTCCCCAAGTTTTCCTACATGGTAAATGGCAGATCTGAAATCCAGACTATGACAGTTTGGCTTAGGAGCCTGTGCTGGTAACCACCAGGATATGGTGTTCCTTCAAGGTAAAAGACATTCTAAGGTGAATAAGAGCCAGAGAGAAAGAGAGGGAGAGAGAGAGGAAGGGAGGGAGGGAGGGAGGGAGGGGGAGAGAGAGAGAGAGATGGATGTGCATTTGTTCTGTATGAAGTCTCTGCACCCTCTAGAGAGCCTTTTCTTTAGTGGGTACTCATTAAGTGTATGTGGGGTTGTTCAAGTTGCAGATAGACACTAACCCCATGCCTGCTCTGGTCATTTAGTGACATCAAAAGCTGCAGTCTTTATAAAGTCCAAAAAAGCACCAGTGCTATTTCTAACAGATCCTTGATTGGACTCAGATGACAAAGCTATGAGCAATTAAAAAGAAACAAAACACTTACCTGCTACACCAGTAAGGAAGAAACTGATGAGGAAGCCTAGAAAGCAATGTTTAGGCATCATGGTTGCAAGTGTGACTGTTCAGGCAACCAGTGTTCCCTTTAACCAGCTCAGGACCAAAGAGGAAACTAAAATCCACAGACAGACTATCACTCCTGGGTTTAAGGCAGATGGTTCCTTGAAGCAACTACAGTTTTATTTCGATACGACATTATATTATTTTATTTTAGGCAAATTATGAAAGTATAAAAATCACTTCAAAAAGCATTTGCTGCCACTTTTATGTGGAAGCTTGTTTTTATTGGGAAGCTCGTTTTTTGTTGGGGCTTCGTTAGCTGTGGAAAGGCAAAACACTGAGGATGGGCAGACCCAAAGGGCAGGGCAGTGCAGGGATTGTGCAAGTGGCAAGCAGGTGAGTGAATGAAACGACTTGTGGGGCCTTAAGGGAATCTGGCCCCAGGAGGCGGAGAGGCTGCCAAAGACTAGGACTTGGCAGCCAGGGTGATTTTGAGTAATATGCTTGGCAGTTGCAGCTATCGGGCCCACTGGTAGTGGTTCAAAGCAAGAGGTGTCTCTCGTTGATTCACTCTTTTCCTTCCGTTTTGGTAGCTCCCCAATTAATCTCCCTGCTATGCCCCATACCCTCCCGCTGCCTCTAGCTCTCCACAGGGCTCCCTGCCATACTCCTCAGCCTCCTCCACTCCATAGTGGTCCTGGGCTCCGTTTAGCTAATGCCTATTCCTCTTCCATTTTCACATGCAGTCTCCAGTGAGCTGGAAAAAGATTTTGAGCCC